CACGGTGTGGGCGCAACACTGAGGGTTGCGATCCTGTTGCCGGTCAGTAAAAAAGACAAAAAAAGGAAAAAAAAAAAAAAATTTAATGTTTGTCCTGCTGGGTTTCGGACTTGTTTGGGGCCTGTTTCTCCTTTCTCCTGGCCTATTCCTCCCTTTTGGAACGGGAATGCATACCCAATGTCTGTTCCACCATTGTATCTTGGCAGTAGATAAATTTCGTTTTGTTTTTCAGGTTCATAGCTGGAAGGAATTTTGCTTTTGGTCTCAGATGAGACTCTGGACTTTTAAATTGGTGCTGGAGCAAACTACGATGTTTTGGGACTGTTGGAATAGAATGATTGTATTTTGTATGTGAGAGTAACATGAGTTTTGGGGGACCAGGGGCAGAATGATGGAGTTTGGATGTGTTGTCTCCCCAAAACTCATGTGGAAATTCGATCTCCAATGTGGCAATGTTAGAAACCGATTGAGTCATGGGGGCGGATCCCTCATGAATGGATTAATGCTCTCCCAGGTGGGGGGAGTAATGAGTGAGTTCTCGCTCTATATATGGGATCCGAACCCGGGGCCTTGGTGTTATCAGCACCGCACTCTACCGAGTGAGCCACGGGCCGGCCCCAAGTTCTCGCTCTATTGGTTCCCATGAGAGCTCGTTGTATATAGGACCCTGGCACCTCCTCTCTCTTTCTTGCTTCCTCTTGCCATGTGATCTGCTCATACCCACCGCTGCTGCCACTTTCTGCCATGAGTAGCAGCAGCCTGAGGCCCGTGCCAGATGCAACTTTCCCAGAATCGTAAGCCAAACAAACCTCTTTCCTTTATAAATTACCCCATCTCGGGCCGGCCCGTGGCTCACTCGGGAGAGTGCGGTGCTGATAACACCAAGGCCCCGGGTTCGGATCCCATATAGGGATGGCCGGTTCGCTCACTGGCTGAGCGTGGTGCTGACAACACCAATCAAGGGTTAAGATCCCCTTACCGGTCATCTTTAAAAAAATAAAATAACTAAATAAATTACCCCATCTCAGGTATTTCTGTTATAGCAACACAAAACAGACTAAAACAGTCTTGAAACTGCAGACGGGGACAAGTGGAAGGGTTTTAAGAAAAGAAGTGATTTGATCCAGGGCTGGATGCTTAGCTTAGAGCGCACCCTTGTTAACACCAAGGTCACAGGTTCAGATCCCCATACTGGCCAACCGCCAAAAAAAAAAAAAGTGATTTGATCCTTCTGGACACAAATGGGCCAGAAAGCAGGGAACCCAAAGAGGTGGCAGGTGCAAAGTGGTGTGGAGAAGTGGGCTGACAAGGCAGTACAGGGGATGGAAAAACAGAGAGGAGGAGGATGGCACATGTCAGCTCCATGACCCAAAACCCCAGGTCTCAGAGAGATGGGCAGAGTCTGCAGCATTGACCAGCATCACAGAAACCTGGAAAAAGCTTACTGCCCATCCATGGAGCTCGTTAAATACTATGCAGGAGCTGAAAAAAGATTGAGGAAGCTCTTCATGTACTGAAGCATAAACAACTTGAGAGAGAAAAAGAAAAAAACAAGGTACAGAACTGCATGTAAAGGATGCTGACATTCACAAAAAGTACGTGCACATGGGGGCCGGCCTGGTGGCGCACTGGATAGTGCGCCGCTTGGGAAACGCGGCGGCGGCGCTCCCGCCCGAGGGTTCGGATCCCACATACGGACCAGTTCCTGCTCACTGGCTGAGCGAGGCGTGGGAGCAACCCCGAGGGTTGCGGGCCCGTTGCCGGTCCCCGGTCCGGTGCGGGGGCAACACTGAGGGTTGCGATCCGTTGCCGGA